AAGCTGTGCAAAGTCAGCCAAGTGGATGTGGCTCCACCCCTGTTAACACGACTAGGTTAACAGATCCGAGTGGGAAAATTGCACTAAGTGAGAACTTCATAACACCCATCCCCATGGTAGACCATGAAACAAATAGGAAGGCCAAAAAGAAACGTTCACGACGTCGCAAGACGACAAGAACGCTCCCCAAGAAGACAGACGACTGCAAGGTCTGTGCTTCTGTTGTCGAACAAGCAGACTCTGCCTTCGAATGTAACTTTTGCAACCGATGGGTGCATTGCAGATGCGACAGTGGGGTACCAAAAGCATATTATGACTTTATGCGTAAAAACCCATGCCAATGGTTCTGGTACATATGCCCGAGTTGCCGTCCTGATGTAGCCTCGCGTAGTCCTTTGAAAACTAAAGGTGGCACAGAAGTAGCGGGGAAAAAGGTGAAAAGCTCGACCCCCACCAATCCGGAAGTTAGTACAAACGCGCGTAAACCGGGGATACCAAAATCCTCACCGGTTAAACTTGTAACTCTTGCCATAACCGCTCCAGACACAGAGGCTGGAGAACCACGGGTTTCCGTCGTTGGAAAAAGACCCCAACCGTCTACCAGTAATGCTGGCTTTAGCACTGAGACACATAAAAATACCCAGTCGCACCAGTCAAACCAAAACGGTCTTAAAGGTGATCACAAACGTGCGAGGACCGAGCCCAAGCCCACGGTTAGCAGATCAAATTGTGTAATCCTCTTTAATGTACCAGACTGTAGCAGTAGTCTGCTGAAAGATAGGGCCCTATTTGATCAGGAACAGTGGTCCATCTTAAGTAGCACACTGGGTTTGGACATCCAACCAGTAAATCTATGCAGATTGTATAGGGGCACTGCTGCACCTGAAGGCAAACCATCCCCACTGAGGGTAACATTGAGCTCTACCGAGGATGTTGAAAAAGTGTTACTGGCTTCTCAAGTCCTTTCTATAGGGAGGGCCTGTAACATACGTGTTAAGCCAGACAGGCCGTGGAAGGAAAGACAAATGGCGAGGGAGTCGCCAGAGCTCATTCCTTCTGCCTCCATGGTTGTGCATGGCATTCCCGAACTGGTAACTGGGAACGCCTGCGAAAAGCATTGTCATGATGTACAACAATGGAGATGGTTAGCATCCCAGATGGCCCTGGGAAGTTCAGGGGCTGTCTCTATTTATAGACTGCCTCGACCCACTCATCTTATGTCAATTAACTCGCCACGTCTGTTAGCTGTCAAGTTCAGCTCCCAAGACCAGTTGACTACCGCTCTCCATAGATGGTACGAGACCAAGGACAAGGTCAGCAAACACATTCGCTGCTGCGAGAGCCGGCCTCGCACTCAAAGGAGAGAACAAAGCGTAGTAAAAGAAAATCCTCAACCCCTAGTCACACTACAGCGGTGCAGCACGGACGATGATAGCCAGTGTCATCCGAGTGCTCCAACTGAACTAGAAGAAAAAAACGCCAACAGGCCGGTTCCTGGGGAATCGGCCAACTAGTTCGTAGGATAACTCCTCAACCGATAGCCAATATCAAGTCAACTACCCCCCAATACGGGGAAGTGGTGAGACTGACTACCAGTTGCCTGTATAGTAATGTGAGAGGGCTAAGAGGCAAAATAGCTGAACTTAGACACCTACAATCACAACTAAACTCCAAAATCATAATACTGACGGAAACCTGGCTAACCCCTACGGTGGCAGACAGCGAAGTCAGTATAAATGATATGGTCCTAGTCAGGCGAGATAGGGACCTGAAAGAAGGAGGTGGAGTCGCCATATACGTCGACAAACAGCTCAGATGTGTTCACGCGACGGACCCTCCCCTCACAGAGCTCCCTGACTCCATATGGTGCCACTTCACCGTTGGGTACTGCAAATATCTAGTGGGCAGCATTTATCGATCACCTTCATGTGGAGCAGACCATAACCAGGTACTGCTAAATACAATTTCAGCGACTCAAGACATGGGTTATGATCAAATTGTCATAGCTGGTGACTTCAATGCCCCATCTCTTAACTTGGTGTCGGGAAAAGCCCATGATAGATTTGATCGAAATCTGCTGCATACCATCAGGAAGGCTGGATTCACTGAAAATGTCAAGATGGATACTAGATGGGGCCCTGATGGGAAGTCTTCTAGACTGGATTACGTGCTCACTAGTGACCAGCTACTAGTGGAAAACGTTCAGATCACGACTCCCATAGGTAGTAGTGACCACGCGGTCATAGTATTCGACATAGTCCTCCGCGAGCGCTTACAGTGGGACAATACACAGCCCTATCTGTGTTATAACAAAGCCAACTTTACCAAAATGCGAAGACTTCTGTCTGAAGCAAACTGGCCTAAAAAATGGACAGAGCTAACAGTAGAAGAACACTGGAGAGTGGTAAAGGAGATCATTCACCAGGCGGTCTCAGACACTGTTCCTTTAGTCTCACCAAAAGCTAGGAAGCAACGATCATGGCTGAAAAGAGGGACACAACGCCTTCTGCAGGCAAAGCGTAAAGCCTGGTTCGCGTGGCGACGATCGAAGAGTCAACCCGAATATGAAGTGTACCTTGAACTCAGGAATCGATGTAACATACGAGTCCGGAGCGATAGAAGGACATTTCAGGGAGACCTCGCCAATAAGCTTCTCGTGAACCCCAAAAGCCTATACAGGTTTATGGCCGAAAGAAAACCGACCAACCAGGGAGCATGCAATCTAGTGGGTTCTGATGGGAAATCTCTTACTAGTCTTGAAATGGCAGAGACATTCAGCCTAGCCTTTCACAGGCAACTAAATAGTAACGAGGATATTACCCCTACAGAACATCCAGATTACATCGCAGAACCAACACACGAAAACCTGCTGGGGACATTTCAAATTACCCCGGCTATGGTACTTGCAAAATTGGGAAGGTTGGCTTCGGGAAAGTCTCCAGGTTGTGATGGCATCAGACCATCTGTCCTGAAGCAGTGTTCAGAAAGTCTCTGTCAACCCCTAAGTGATCTGTTCCAACACTCCCTTGATGTAGGGAAACTTCCATGTGAATGGAAACGTGCAATCCTATCCCCTATCTTCAAGGGTGGTGACCGGCAGAATGTGACCAGTTACAGACCAGTTGCTCTACTTCCAGTGGTATCGAAGATATTGGAAAGTCTCATTGACGACCACATGAGAAAATACTTCGATGGGACTAACCTTCTTCACGAAGCACAGCACGGTTTCAGGAGGGGAAGATCCTGCGTGACGAATCTTCTACTAGCCTGGAACGATTGGACACTATCCTGGGACAAAAAGGTACCAGCCCACGTGATCTTTCTCGACTTTGCGAAAGCATTCGACACAGTTCACCATGGTCTGCTCCTTCACAAAATAGGCAAGGCGGGAGTTTCTGGAGCACTTCTCGCATGGCTGACAGATTACTTAGGCGAGAGAGAATTCTGCACCAAAGTCAACCGCATCCGATCATCTTGGCACACCTCGGCATCAGGGGTTCCTCAGGGTTCTATCCTAGGGCCGTTGATGTTTTTGATTTTTATCAATGACCTGCCCCCCCAACTAAACTGCTCTGCGCTTCTTTACGCTGACGACGTAAAGATTTGGAGAGCAATAAACTCATCGGAAGACTCAGATAGATTGCAGGCTGACCTGCAAACTCTGGGAAATTGGGCTTTGGCTAACGGAATGCCTTTCAATCTAAAGAAGTGCAAAGTAGTGCAGCTTCATTCCGGCAGGTCACAGAGTGTAAATTACACCCTTGGTGGCCAGAACTTGAGTTGTGTTCCATCAGAGCGTGATCTAGGTCTTATTCTAACAGAAAAGCTAGACACCAGTGGAAATTACTCGAGGGACGTCGCCAAAGCCTACGCAACATTACACTTTATGCACAGGCAGCTGGGAGCTCTCACTCCCGAACTGTTCTTAAGGCTATACAAGGCATATGTGAGGCCACACCTTGAGGTGCATAATATCATTGCACCTCCGCTACTCAAAAGGGATGCTAACATTCTAGAAAGTGTCCAGAGACGAGCGACAAAATGGGTGATCGGCCTCCGCAACAAATCATATGAGGAAAGACTAAAGAAATTAGGTCTTTTCACACTCAGTTACCGTAGGCACAGGGGAGACCTCATCACCGTCTACAAGATCCTAAATGACCAGGCCCACCCAAATAAAAGCATCCTGCCATTAAGCGATTATAGGCTTCCACGAGGTAACCCGCTAAGGATAGCACACCAGAGACCAAAGACTCGAGTGCGATCACATTTCTTTTCGCTTCGTGTTTGCCGTCTCTGGAACGCTTTACCGGCGGCCGTGACTACAGCGCCATCTGTGGAGATTTTTAAGCGGAAGCTAGACAATCATGCAGAAATGCAAGGTTTGTGTCTCAATGGCTTATCCTCATAAAATTTGAAACCAAACTGTCAATGAATAAGCGTACTAACTAAATCCCCACGACCTATTCTGCCTTCTCTCACTCTATCTTTTCCTTAGGTCACCTTTATTATTCCACTTATCTCAACCTATATTATCTACACTACAACCTATTATTATTATTATTACTATTCTGCTTTTATGACTACACCGAATGACCAAGGGGAGTTAGGTCAAACTCCATTCACGGCAGCAATACAGTCCTAACATACTGCATACTACAAACCACATCTCGACCAATCCCCGCACCACTCCTCCTGGAGTCTACCAGAGCTAAAGCAGTCGAGTGTCGGGACTTACTACGCAGAAGCTCACCGAAGATCTGGAACCTCTACCTCACAATCAAGAAGCGAGCTCAAAGAAATCACTGGTTTATACTAGCTCGTCATCAGGATATTGGATATTGGAACCAAAGCGACGACAGTCGAGTGGCGAGAAGAGCTACGCAGAAGTTTGCCGAATATCAGGAACTTATACCTCAAAATCAAGAGGCGAGCACAAACAAATCAAATCGTTTTATACTAGCTCGTATAAATGATATTGGATATTGGAAGTTTGATCTCTTGGAGCAACAATTTGACTCAAGCGTTACTTTGGATGCACGTGAAATGCGTTTGAACTTTAAGGTAGTTGAAGTGTTTAAAGTGACGGTCTTTTCAGTTTAAAAACCTTTTCGGGACAGCATACAAAAGTGGATCCTTGAGCTTCACAGATAATGGTTTGGGTTTGTTGAGCCCAGTAGGCAACCAGATAACTGTTTTCGATCTAAAGAAGTAAGTAGCGTTGTTCATAATATTTGTTTTCCTAAGAGATGAGGTTGCTTCTCTAGACATTTCATCATACCACGACATTCGACATTTGGCATTATCTCCCTCCTTTCCAATTTTGATTGCCGTTAATGATGGTTAGTTTTTTGATATTACTTGTTCTCTATTCCCACTTTTCTAGTTGGTGATGCGTCCTTGTGCTCACTCTCAACAGGATGTGTCATTTCAGTTTATCCTTTCAAAGGCGTAGTCATGGATGTATCTTTTAGTCCAGATGGAAAGTAAGTCAGTCAATATGTTGAATAAATTCCAGGTTCCTAGCCGTAGCAAAAGGACACAATGTCATGCTTTTCTTAGCACCTTGTGCAAAACGACAGTTTAATCACTTGGAACTGTACCGTACATTTTACGGTTTTTCGGACAATGTGACATGTATCGATTGGTCTTGTGATTCCAGGTAACCAGTCGATTGCTAATTTTTCCAGGTTTTTCATAGCTGGTTCTGTCGACTCTACGTGTCGTCTATTCTCAGTCTACAATATTCCAAAAATATTCGTCTACACATTATCTGGACACAAAAATCCTATTGTTGGGGCATTTTTATTTCGAAACTCTGTGAACGTGCTGACGGTTAGTTCTGACGGAATGGCGTGTCTTTGGGAATGCAATACACCATTTAATGAGCTGAAAAGTACTAACAATTCAGAATCTGGCTCACTATTTAAAATTAGTAACAGGTAAGTCTCCGTAAGGTTAGTATTTTGCACGAATGATATTGGAGCATGTACCCTTTTTGGTTTCCTATTAGCATGAGATTGACGATGACAGTTATTTTTCCGTACTGAAACAAGTTCATAGAAGTGTTTTAATAAACTTGTATCGTAAACAGTAAGTTGAACAGACGATAAAATGTAACATGTATAGTTATACGCTGATGCTTATTGGAGCTGTTCTTCATTAACATAGGCAGCAAAATTTCAAGCTCACGAGTAAGTTCTGTACCTATTTTCGGAGTTACTGCGTCGTTTAGGTTTGTCACTTCAGCAACTACTTATTGATTAGTCTGGATAAAAATATCAGTTATCATATGTTTGTTTCGATATATCTTGCTCCACTTTTCTAGTCTTTTGGTTGATTAGCCAATTAAACTAAGTTGGGTTATAAATATTCGTAAACTAACAGTTCTGGACTGTGGACTCTGAACTGATATCTTGTGTTTTTGCAATGCAGATTACTGTGTTAGTTTCAGGATGTAGGGCGTTTATACATTTAAAATATTAATAGTTTTGAGTCTTCTATTACACGCTTTGTTAACACCTTAAAAACATTCACACTAAGAAATAATTCTCTTTTCTCAGTGTCTGTTTTTACTGTCACTGTGGGTATGGGCATTTATTCTTAGAGAGTAACTGAGCATATTTTGTTGTATTGTTACTAAATTCTATAGTCATCAGGAAATACATGAGTTTATAATTGCATGGGACTTTATCCCAACCCAAATATGGTGGTTTAATATATATAAGGAATGCTCACTTCAAACTGGTGGAGTATTTATACATTTGAAAACTTGTTTCTTGTCAAACAATTCATACATTCTGTAAACTTACCACTGGTTTTGTCCTAAGATGAGACAAAGTGTAAAATTTTTTCCATGTTCTAATGGAGAGTAGAAACTTTTTAATTTGTCAGTCATAGCTGACTAGTGTATCCCATCTAAAGGTGATGATTACTGAAGGTGTCATGTAAGCTTAATAACTACATTTAAAGCATTCCAAAGTGCAAAGTATATTTGTGCAAACACTTAAACAAGGGCCATTTGACTGTTTTAAGTTTAACTGAACTGTTGAGGTATTCTAAAGACTGAAGTGGTTCTCTTGAGGTAGGTGTCTCTTCGATAAGCCTCAGCGAATTAATTGTTGGGTGTTGGCTACAAGACATTCTGTACAAAGGTGTATGTTATGTCTTCTATCTGCCTTTCTATTCAAACTTGTCACTACTTTCGGTTGTATTATTTCAGGACTGAACTACACTGACTCCTAGTTTAGAAATAGGAAGTGAAGTGGTAGAACACGTTGACCGCTTCACTTATTTGGGAAGTACCATCAGCCAACGTCAACGGGTTGATGTCTGACGAAATCTCAGCACGGATACAGAGGGATCGTTTCGCATATGCCAGTTTACGCCATCTCTGACCTAGTAGACGTGATATCCAACTGGCTATCGACCAAAGGGCGTGTGTACTGCTCATCAGTCCGCTTCGTCCTCCTTTATGGCCAGCTGTGAGACCTTGCCATTGAGAGTGGAAGACATGAAAAGAATAGCTGTCTTTGATCATAGGTGCCTACGTTCTATCTCCCTCCCGTGTGAAGTGGTACAATAAGGTGAGAAATATTGAGGTTAGGCATCAGTCGAGTGGTAGGAGGTGGGTGGGTGGGGGAATCAATCGACGAGGCCGTGAAATTACATCGACTGAGATGGTTAGGACATGTGTTACGTATGACTAGCCTATTCATCGCGTTCCTTGACCGATGGGGAATGTTAGCTAACATAGGGTCAGGTTGGGAAAGAGCTAGCGGCGGTCAAACCAAAACATGGCTTCACCAGTCAATGAAATCCACAACAGTTTGTCTAAGCCGGACACGTAGGAAGATGTAGACTTCCTGGTTGGGGTCCTGGGGATAGTATAAACCAATGGTTGAAAACAATTGGTGATACGGCTCAAAATCGTTCTCAATGGCTGGTGCAGATGCATCCACTCCTTGTGACTAATGATTTCCAGTGAAACTATATTGTTATTCGTTATCACTATTCCTTTTGTCTCACCCCTCTGTTTACTGTCTCTATTGTGCATTTCTTCTACTTTCTTCTCTTGCTTTCTGTGGTACATGCAGTGTGATGCCTCGAACAGTTGCGCAACGGTGCAAAGTTCTATGTCGAAAACAGACAGGCAGACAGACATTATTTCTCATTTATTGATTCTTTCACTACAGTATCCCTCATTGATTAATGTATAGTTGTAACTCAAAGCAATGTCTATACGTTCAATTTAATTAGACATTGTTGAGAAGGAAAGCTACCGATAGAATGATTGTGCAGTTACTTGCGTATCTTCATTATTAAATACGGTTATTTATTGGATAGCTGATGTACCTATGATCTCTAATACCACTGTGTTTGTTTTCGGAGCCAACTCCGAATTTAAACCTAATTCTTAGTTACAACTTCAGCATCTGTGTTTACATTTACACTCTGTTTTAGGCTACCAAACTTAATTTGTGCACCAGTTTTCTTAACAGTCACGAATGTCACGTTTATCACTACTTCAAAATTATCCTGTCAAATTCTGTCAATCGATTTTTGATTTGATTATTGTCTAACTGAGTGTCTTATAGATCAAACATTTTTGAATTAAAGTTACTGATGGGTTATCAACCCTTCTTTTGGTTAACATGCTACAATATCCACTTTGCGCGCTGTAATAATTAATGCCCACATAACTGTTTCGCTTTTTCAGATATCGTTATTCAAATTCTGCAGATGTCCAAATGACTATTCCTGTCAGTGCAGTAGCATTTCATAAAGATTTGCGGCTATTGGCGACAGGGTTTGAATCAGGTTTGCTGTTGCTTCATACATTTCCTGACTTTGTAATCATCAGTGAAGTCAAGTAAGACATCACACCTATTTTGTCTGTTTTTGTATAAATTAAGCAACATCTTGAGGTTTTTGTTTTTCAACTTCTTATGTTTTTCTATACTGTTTGTTTGTCGAAAGTAATCAGCATAGGGTTGTAGAAATGAATGATTGGGCTTTATTGGCTATTCAAATTGGTTATTTCTATTCATCTCCACGTTTTGTTAATCGTTAGGTCAAGTAGCAATAATAAGAAAAAATCTTCACTCTCCGATAGATTCTAGAACATGGACACACTTTTCGGCGTCCAACAATTGCCATATTTCTTGACTTGAAGGTGGCCTTCGACTCTGTGGATCGAAAGGTACTATGGCAATGTTTGACTGTGAAGGGAGTTCCAAGAAAGTACGTGGCACTAATCAAGGCACTCTATTCAAACTCACGTAGTCGTGTAAGGGCTTATGAGGAATTGTCATCTGAATTCATAACAACCAGTGGCGTCCGACAGGGATGTCCACTTTCCCCATTCCTGTTTAACTTCATCATAGATATGCTAATGGAAGTATCCTTAACTGAACTTATCGACTTAGGAATCGATTTGTTACCAGAGAATAAATAGTCTTATGGACTTAGAATATGCAGATGACATAGTCCTGTTAGGGGAGGATGCTGACAAAACGCTGAGTCTTCTGAACACCTTGAGCAGCAGTCTTCGTATGTTTGGCATGCGATTCGCCCCTGCAAAATGTAAGGTGCTGCTGCAGGACTGGACTACGTCAACTCCTAGCTTAGTGATAGGGAGTGAAGTGATAGAACATGATGACCACTTCACCCATTCGGGAAGTTGTATTAGCACCAACGGACTGATTGGCGATGAAATCTCAGCACGGGTCCGAAAAGCTCGAGCTGCTTTCGCTGACTTACACCATCTCTGGCGTAGGCGTGACATCCGGCTATCAACCAAGGGACGTGTGCACTGCTCATCAGTTCGCTCCGTCCTTCTCTATGGCTCTGAAACATGGCCAACACGAGTTGAAGACATGAAAAGGTTGACTGCTTCCGATCATAGATGTCTGCGATCTCTTTCTCACCTTAGGTGGTATAATAAGATAAGTAATGTTGACGTTAGGCGTAGAATGCTGGGCAAAGAGGGAAAATCAATCGTCGAGGCTATATATTTCCATAGATTGAGATGGCTAGGTCACGTGCTGCGCATGCCTAACCACCGCCTCCCCCGACGGGCATTGCTAGCTGATATAGGTTCAGGTTGGAAAAGAGCCAGTGGTGGCCAAACAAAAACATGGCCTCATCAATCCATGAAATCCTTGACAGTTAAACTGAGTCAGGTAGGGAGATGCAGACTTCCGGGTTGGGGCCCTCGGGACTCTAGGAATCAATGGCTGGAGACAATAGGTGACATGGCTCAAAATCGTTGTCAATGGCGCCGACGTATTCATTCTCTGTAATCTTTCATATTCCTTTCTACCATTACCCATTCTGTTTCACTCTTGTACTTGTCAGACTGTATTGATTCTCTTCACTCATCTTCTTGTCTACCTTTGTGTGTGTGGTATTTGGAACGTGGCAACTCGAACTGCTTCACTTCGGTGCCAAGTTCTATGTTGAATCCAGACAGACAGAATAAGAAAAAAAGTATTTCGATTCGTGGTGTTCAATGCAATTGCTAACATGTCAGTATTAACTAAGTAATTTAATTCCTGTCCAAGATGAATGCACAGAAATAGCACAATCGCCTGTTGTCGTTTTTATATTATGGCAAGAGTAGCTACTCAGTAATAACTCATTGGTAATGATAATAAGCCTACACCTGGTCAACTCGAACTATGGTTGTGTTTACTGCTTTATGTGTTATACTGGTCGTAATGCGTTATATGCTTTTATTTCTCCTTTGATTTAGTCTATTTACAAACAGTATAAATACTGTAACTATTAATCGCAATGGGGATTGGATTGGTGCAGGTTCTGAGATGTTTGGTCAAATTGCTGTTTGGGAATGGAGATCACAATCGTGTTATATGCGTGCTGATTCACATTCGAAACAGATGACAAGTTTGGCGTATTCTCCTGATGGATTGCATTTAGTGACTGGTGGTTATGACAATAAGGTGAAAGTATGGCGTATAGCCGGTGGAAGGTCGATAGTTACTTTTTCTGAACATACCGCTGGTGTGACCGGGGTTGCATTTCCTGCTCAAAATTCTAAGATAGTTTTGTCAGCCAGCTTAGATGGAACTGTTCGCGCGCATGATTTGGTCAGGTAGATTTCTCAGTTTGCTTTGTTTATTTTTTTCATCTGAAACATTCCTGTGTAGTTAACATGTTGACTTACTAGCAATAGCGTGAAAGTCACCTTACCAGTTTTTATCAGTAATTACAGCTTTGGAAATAAAGAGTTTCTGTCTCATGTTTCAACTGTTGAATACAGAAAACAGCATTCCAGTGCTTTGTCTTATAAGTAGCCACCTTTCCGTATTGAAAAAGTGTGGGAGATTTTTCTCGCTGAGTGAATAGTCCATGGGATACAAATAAGACCCGTTGTGTAGCAGTGACCCCCTAGTGGGGTCGTGAGGACCCTAAGACAGAACCAGCCGGAAGTAAAAAAACTCGATGGTTCCCTTTCGGGTGAAAAAAATCTTCCGAGCGGCTTGGTCTTATGCCTACTGGTTTGTCTGCCTATGCTAATAGGGTGTTTGTACATAGCTTCCTGGTGTTGTTCGTTGGATTCCGTGCTTCGTTTGTTTCCTGTCCAGTGCCCGTCGCACCTGGAAAAGAAAACAAGAACGCTAAGAACCATGTCGAGGAAAATGTACGAAATGAGCTTTTTGGTTAAAAAAAATTGTGTGCATTTACTATACAGTAAAATAATGCTAAGTTCAGAACATCGAAAAAAAATACATCTAATTAATTTTTTTGTGTATGTTACATGAACTGTTGAGAAAAAAATTTTTTGTGTTCGGTGGTACTGTATATAAAAAAAATTTATACGTCAAAAAAAATAGTTAGTACCACAAACGAGTGAGTTGCGTGAATCACACGACTTCGTTAAGTCAAATAAGTGTGCAAGTGTTCTGGGAACCTTACGGTGCGTCCAGAACGGTTTTTCTTAGGAGGCTCAACCTTAGTAGCCAGTGGGCGAATGCCCTTGCAGTCAATAGTGTGACCCAGGAAGTCGAGTGAGTCAACACCGATTTGACATTTTTGATAATTAATGGTAACACCATGTTGGCGTAACCTGTCAAATGCCAAGTCCAAGTGCCTAAGGTGAGTTTCCTTGTCTGGACTGGCAATGAGGCAGTCGTCTAAGTATGCGTATACAAAGTCGAGACCGCGAAATACTTCATCGATGAAGCGTTGGAATGTTTGGGCTGCATTCCGGAGACCGAATGGCATACGTAGAAATTCAAAAAGTCCGAAAGGCGTAATGATAGCCGTTTTCGGGATATCTTCTGTTGCCATCGGGATTTGGTTATACGCTTTAACCAAGTCGATTTTAGAGAATATAGTCGCGCCGGATAAGGTTGCCGTCAAGTCGTGTATATGAGGCAACGGGTAGCAATCAGGGGTTGTTTTGGCATTCACTCGCCGGTAATCACCGGTGGGTCGCCAATCATTGCTATCCTTTTTCGGAACCATATGAAGTGGGGATGCCCATGGGCTATTCGAAGGTCGAATGATGCCAAGGCTAAGCATATGGTCAAATTCATTCCTGGCGATTCTCAGTTTGTCAGGAGCTAATCGTCGTGCTTTAGATGTCACAGGTTGTCCTGTGGTAATGATGTGGTGCATAACATTGCTGGTTATGCACGGTAGGTCGTTCGACGGGCAATTAAGTTCCGGATACTTGTCAACAATAGGTTGAAAAGTTGGATCAAGGATTGCCTTTATCTTAACGGGTGACAAGCTAGGGCCTATGTAGCTGATGCCTTTGATAGACAGACTAGTAGTATTGTCAATCAGTCGTTTTCGGCGGACGTCTACGAGTAAATCATGATGATTAAGTAGGTCCGTGCCAATGATGGGCATTGTAACGTCAGCGAGAAGGAAAATCCACCGAATAGGTTTGCGTAAACCTACGTTCAGATAGACGTATTTCCTACCAAAGGTTGCGATTGGTTTTCCATTTGCAGCCTGTAAGTTGAAGGTAGGTTCCTTCTGTCGATCTGCTGCTGTAGCAGGAAGGACGCTGACTTCGGCGCCTGTGTCGACTAAGTATCGAGTCTGGCTTATCACATCATGGATGTAAAGTAGGCGGCTAGTGCCACCGGCGACGGTTGCCGCTAACGCGTGCCGGCGGGATAGTTTCCCGCAGACTTTGAGACATTTCCGAAGTTACAAGGCTTACGGCAACACTTCGCTTCTTGGCCATAGGTGTTGTGGTACCAGCACCAGTCAGGGTTTTTCAGTGAACGTGGTTTGGACTTAGATCGACCACGTGAGTTCCTGCGTTGAGGAGATTTAGGACGACGGTTGGAGGAGTTAGAATGCATGTTCGACCTAAACATCTGCTGGATGGAGTTGCATAACTCTATCATTGCAGGATCCTTACTCGAAGTCTGCTTAGTCATCGAGCATATTTCGGGAACTGACCGTTTAGTTATTTCTAGAATCCTATCTGCAGTAATAGCTAAGTCCTCTATTACAGTACCCTGAAGTGTCACAAGTACGGTCTGTACAGACTGTGGCAACTTGGATAAGAAGAGTTCTCTAAACAGTCCTTCGTCGAACTGACTTTGTCCGACGATTTCTTTCATTCTTGTCAGCATGCTCACGGCTGACTGATCTCCTAACTCGATGTTACGAAATAATTCATCTAGACGTTGTCTGTCCGTGAGAACGTTTCTCCTGAGGAGGGATGCTTTTAGCAACTCGTACGAGTTACTTACCTCGGGACTGAACATCTGTGATGTTACGTACTTGCTGAATTCCCGCGGTAGGGCGTGAATAACTGCAAGTAACTGTGAACGTTGATCGGTTATCCCATGCTCACAAAAATCTGCTTCAGCTAGCAGAAACCACGTTTCAGCATTATCTGGCCAGTATGGTACGAGCTGAATGGTTTTAGGAGTTGAGCGGATACGGATGACCTTGGGACTAAGATCACTCATGACGAAAATTATGTCGAATAATATATGGTACAAGAACAAATACAAAATGGAACGAACTCACCGGGGTTATCTGCGGATTTATCGTAGATGAAGTTCGCGGTTGGGCTCACCAGTTTAGAGGTTTCACGTGATATCTCGTTCAACAACTTCTAATTAATTTATTCTCGCGTACCAAAGACAAAGCAAAAGCCAATAATTGATCGTCCAAACCAAGCGATATATTTAGGAGCTAAAACAAGCCGTTAGACGAACGCTTAGCTAGCTAGTGATCGTGCACGTTACACGACGGGGTACCAAATGGCGGGGATGCTTGACCGGAAGCCTTCAGCTAAACAAGTCGACTTAAACAGTGGTGGTCAGCATCCAATGAGTGATTGCTGTGGTCGATAATTTTGGGGAATTATTTACCGCTACACTACCATACATGAGAAATATCTCTGAAATAACAGCTAGAATATTAAAACCGTTCGAAATAGGTATAACACACAAGCCAACCAGCACAATCACTTCATTCCGTATTGTGCTAACCGAAAGATCCAACAGTAAAAAGAAGATAAAATTAATATCATTTACAAAATAAATTGCATGTATGAGCTGCAATAAACATTACATCGGTCAAAATGGGCGTCTCCTTCAAATCATAACCCAAGAGCACAAATTAGCTGTAAGAAGACATGATATATATATTCTTTCATATCAACACGCATGTAGATAATGACGCAGACCCATTTGATTGGGATAATGTCGAAATTTTAGACAGAGGAAACACCAAAAGTGCAGTCCGGGAATTCCTAGAAGCCTGGTACTCAAACGAATATGCAATTAACAAACATGTTAATATAGACCAAATATATACCAACTAATAAAAAGTGAATCAGGTGACCAGAAAGCTTAAAATTCAAGTCACTAGAAAATGATCAATACATATGTAAAGATGGTTACCGCGAGATGCAATTCTGTCACTCATGAAGAATTTAAATCAGTTCACTTTATGCTAAATATTGCGCTGAAGATGTTGTCCAGAAGGGCGACGAAAGCTCCGCAACTAAACCAACCAGCTCAGAGAACACTATTAATTGTAAATATGTAGGGTTCTTAATAGATCAGAAATTGGTGTGGCATCCCGCATCCTGCAAACTTATCCAGGATTAAACTTTGTGGGTTAAATGATCCTATTCACCCAATTGGGCGAAGTAACTATAACTACAAAACACCTTACGATTGACTATAAGATCAACTACATTGGTCAACTCAGTAGATAGAAGTTAGTGAGGTTGTCGCAATATAAGAATGCACTGCGCTGAGTGTAGAATGATTGATCCCAGGAAGGTAAGGTAGCTTAGAGAGAAGCCGAACAACTCCAGTGTATGTACTAACAAACAATCATACAATAGGGTTGGACAGAGTTACTGTTCTAAAAAGTAATATGGGAATGATACAAAACCGAATGCAGAGATATGGAAAAGAATGCTACCCATAAAACCAAAGAATAAGAAATAGTAGAAACATATAAGAGAAATTCAAAAGTGAGCACTTTAATATGATTATGAGCAATAAATTGTGCTCAAAACGTCATTAGTAAATCTTTTGATTTTAGAAAATCTATAGGTTTGTGTTTTTTGCATTTGTGCCATTTTGTGTTTCGTTAATATTCTCTGATGTTCCGTTCATTACAGGTACAGGAATTTTCGTACATTCACTGTTCCTACACGCCGGATTCAGTTTTCATCATTAGCAGTTGACACACGTGGTTCTCTTGTTGCTGCTGGCGGTCTGGATACATTTGAAGCATACGTGTGGTCAATTAAGACGGGCCAACTGTTGGCTACATTGACAGGGCACACTGCACCAATCAGTGCACTTGCCTTTAATCCCGATGTTTCTGGTATCGATATTGAATTGGCCACGGTGAGTTGGGATTCTACACTACGGATTTGGGATGTAACAGGCAATTCAGCTGATGAGAATAATCTGTCTAGTATGGGTCTGACAAAAGAGGTTGTTAATTTTTCATGTGATGGTAAGTTTTCTGTGTTTTCTCGCCTTAGTAGATGATTTACCTTCCCTTTTTGTTTAAACTGTGAATATTTCTCATCTTATCGTTACGCAATTTAACTTTGAGGTGGAATATTATCTAAACAGCTTGCGGATGGTCACAAATGTCGGCTTTATAAAACTAATACTCGGGCGGTAGTAACCTTGGAAAGGTTAGGCTTGAGGCTAGTAACCTCATCGTCTGAAAAGCCACCGCTACTAAAACTTCACAATCTAAACCTTGAAGCCCTATATTCTACTTGGAACTCTGAGTTTCGTCACCAGCTCGTGGGTGGCTCAGCGGTGTAGTGGACGACAATAACGCATATGGTATTGGGTTCGATTTCCGGCCGACACACTCCTAAAACTGCTTAACCTACGGTAAGCCCGGTAAGGAGGGACTGGACTACACTGACTCCTAGCTTAGAAATAGGAAGTGAAGTGGTAGAGTACGTCGACCGCTTCACTTATTTGGGAAGTACCATCAGCCAACGCCAACGGGTTGATGTCTGACGAAATCTCAGCACAGATACAGAGGGCTAGTTTCTCATATGCCAGTTTACGTCTTCCCCGGCGTAGACATGATATCCGGCTAGAAGGCTGTCGACCAAAGGGTGTGTGTACTGCTCAACAGTTCGCTCCGTTCTCCTTTATGGCTGTGAGAGAGACATGGCCATTGAGAGTGGAAGACATGAAAAGATTAGCTGTCTTTGATCATAGGTGCCTGCGCTCCTCTCCCGTGTGAAGTGGTATAATAAAGTGAGCAATATTGAGGTTAGGCGTCGAGTTCTAGTTAAGGAGGGGAAATCAATCGACGACGCTGTTAAGTTACATCGACTGAGATGGTTAAGGCAAGTGTTACGTATGCCTAGCCTAGTCATCGCGTTCCTCGACAATGGGGAATGTTAGCTGATATAGGGTCAGACTGGAAAAGAGCTACCGGCGGTCAAACCAAACCATGGCACCAGTCAATGGAATCCACAACAGTTAGTTTAAACCAGTCACTTAGGAAGGTGTAGACTTCCTGACTGGTTGGGGTCCTCGAAACGATGAAAACCAGTGACTGGCGACAATTGGTGGTATGACTCAAAGTGATCGTTCTCAATGGCTGGCTGGTGCAGATTCATCCACTCCTTGTGACTAATGATTTCCATGAAACTATATTGTTCTTCGTTATTACTACTCCTTTGTCTCACACCTCTGTTTAATGTCTCTATTGTGCATTTCTTCTACTCCTCTTGTTTTGTGTGCTACAAAAGGGAGTGTGGTGACTTGAACTGCCGGACATCGACGTAAAGTTCTATGTCCAAAGCAGGCAGATGAATGAAACCCACTGCTACTGAAATCTCAGAGCTGAAGCTTGGGGCCCTATACTCCACTGGGAATTCTGAGGAGTAAAATAAAGAAAAAATAGAACTAACGAATAGACCGGAAAAGACTGATTCAATGCCTCTCACCTTACTGTCATGCATAACTAACGCACTAACATTAAATTCTGGACAGATACCATATACTTAGAAAGAGAGTAGGTAAACTAAAACAAACGGAGTCGAGATGACACTAAAAAAATAGATGAAAATTAGAGCAATAGAAGGGAATAATATTCGAATGAAAGATTAGTGAAGTTGTCTGGGATCATGCGTAGGCAGGAAAACACTTTGCTCTCCACCCATCGAATGGGTGGTAGTCATCCTGCAACCACGTCACCAGTTGTGTTTCACTAATAAAATATCTGTCTGTAACTCATTGTTAAATGCGAATCGTTGAGTATTATGTCTTAGTGTTTTAGTCACAAGAATTGTAGGCAAAAAAAGATGACAGCAACAAACTTCCTATGTCACTGACATTTCCACTAGCCGTATATTTTATTTCCGGTATCGAGGACTGATATTTTGTGATTATCCTCTATTTGTTTCTAAATACAAAGATATAGATAACATGTAAAGTTTTTTGGGTGATTAGAGTAGAATGTCAGTGTTAACTAGTGATATTTTGACAGATAAATTAAACTTTTTTATACCTCTTTTCTCTGAACAACATTTTAGATTTATGTTTTAAAAATCATACTACTAATGAGTAGCTTGAATACAATCTCTCTAAATCTTGGTATTGTTTGTTTTTTGAGCGCTGGAAGCAGCGAAATTATAACTACCTTTATTTATATCTGCTTAAATTAAGAGATATATTGGAAAGCATCTATGGTGATCGAAAACTTTTCCAAATTTTGTAAACAGTCCTAATGTTTAAACAACGCAATACAACTGTCCAGTACTCCCTATTATTTTATTATTATTATTAAAACAAACTTGGTATATTACAGACGCTAAGAGATGCGCCACTCAAAATCTCACTATTTGTGCAAGGGCTGGGATACTTACTGCCCGGAAGCCCAGACCACAGCAGGTGGTTATCTTAAGGGGATATCCCTTGACCCTTTGATTTGAAGTCTGATCCACATGGTAGTGATCGAAACAGTCCGCTATGTCACTCGATCTAATCGAATTCTGGAGGCTATGTGCACCATAGGTTCAGAATCGGGGTCTCCCTGCACCCTTAGGGCAGACAAGCATATCCACCAGTCCAGACAGAAGTGTCGGAGGTTCGCATTCACCGTCTCACTTTATTGAAGGTCACTCCAACCACATGAGAGCAATGAATATGATGGCTATGAAGGCGCGTATCCGTAGGATAGCATTTTGACAAGAGGACCTAAGTCTGCCTACGTTCGGCTGTGTCACTTCGTGGTCAAACAATTCCTATATTCTATATATCCTATAGTGAATCCTCTCATATGTCCAAGTTACTCATGAAGTTAGTGTCATTTGTTATGTGTGAATAAGTTCCTTCAATAGCCGAATCAGCAAGTATATATAATATGCACAATTTTTTCAGCGAACCATAGTGTGACCATTACTGTATTCATCCATTGACTTTCCATGTTTCAGCTCTATGCGTTGCTTATCGAAGTGATGGTAAACAATTGGCTATTTCATTATTAAATGGAAATATTGTCTTCTATGATCCACAAGAAGGAGTTGAAATGGGAACTATAGATGGTCATCGTGATCTTGGTGTCAGTCAGACTAGTGAAAACGATTTGGTTACCCCACAAAGAGCTGCTGAAGCGAAGTATGTTTGTTTTCTGTATTCTAGAGTCCAATGCATATTGTATACGTGTTTAATTATAAACTCATGTGATTTTTGTGATGACAGCAAGAAATGAATCACAACTTAAGTTTCAGTATTCATTATTATTATTATTGTTATGAATGCCTTAGATTCAGAGTGGAACATAGGTCTTTAACAGCACATCTTTATTTAATTCTGTTCTCTGCAGTTGTCTTTTGCCCATAAGCTCTCGTCTTCTTACACGATCTCCTTCATGTCACTTCCAGACGCCCAAGTGATTGTTTCCCGATTAGGATTCCTTGTTAAGGGCGTGGCACTCGATGTCATCCAACGATCTTTCCAGTACATGTCTGATCCATCTTCATTTTCGTTGACGTACCTATTGGTTTGTCGCCAGGCCCACTTGTTGCTGATCCTTTCTGGCTAGCCATCTGATCTCCACTATGAAACTAGGGAAGAAGGCCTGCAGCCTGTTGGGAACACTTTTTGTAACGCGCTAAGTCTCTGAACCATATAAAACTGACTTGACAGTGATGTTTCAAATCCGAACCTTGTTCCTCATACAGAATGCAGAAGATTTTTAAGTAGTAAATGTCTGTCCTGCTTTTGAGATCTTGACTGGCGCTTACACTCATCCGTGTGCTGGCTGCTTATTGTTGAAATGATGCTCCCCAAATAAACTGAAAGGAGTGACTTCCTTCAAGTTTCTTCCACTGATGGTGGTGATTGGCTCTCATTGTCGTTGTTGTTGTTGGTAAAGTGATTTCTTTATCGTATGTCGTCTCTTTGTTTACTTAAAATTCTGTCTTCGCTGCCAGCTTCTCCTGCCAACTGATTGATTTTTCCATGTAGGTCCTCGAGTTTGTGTAATATTAAATTTCAGTATTACTCCCTGATAATTTTCTTTGAATGAGAGAGTAATCCTGAAAAGTGTGAGTAGTGCCGATTTTCCCTTAGTTACTTTTAATACACATACTGTGATAAAAATAGCCGCAATTCATTGTTGAACCTTGTGAAATCGAAAATTAAATATTATAATTGTAAGGACTATGGAAAGAGATGTAAATGTGGTCCTTGGGATGGTATAATTGTTTTCTTTTCTTGACATTAAGGACTAATTTTACGATGTCTTGACACACCCCGACCGATAGCTGCTACCTTGACGTGGTGGTCGGGCTTGCACATCGCGATAACCCAACAAGCTACACTGGATGGAACCAATGTTCCTGCAGGAAGGTTGTTAGGATAGCGATTAGACTCAAAGCAGTTACCGGCATTGTGTAAGAATCTTTCTTACACTATGCTGGGGGGTCTAAGGGTGAAGTCGTACTGCTGGGGAACAGGGGTGTAACAGCAGTGAGGTGTTTCCCTCATATGACCAGCATACCAGCTATGAGGTCTCTCCACTCTGGAGGGAGGGGTTAGAAAAGGTCGACTCCAAAAATTGTACATCCCAACTTACCCTATGGTGGTCCGTAACCGGCGTTAAGTTTACTGATACGGAACCAATCGTAGAAACCAGTTCATACAGGCCGTATGTGACCAGCCTCAAGCAGTTGTCTCCTGGGCTCTGCGGTCACGCAACACTGTTTCAGGTACCCGAAGAATCAATCAACTTCCATGGTATGGGGAGCCGGGAAGTAACAACCGCCCACACACTTCCAAAAGCACACGAAGCCTTCCTGAGCACTATTCTCCTTTACTCACATCACCTTCCTCATCTTGCTTCTATACTACAGTTAGTACTATTCTGCAGGCTAGTGAGTCATCTTAACTTCACTCTGTTTTGACACAACCTTATTTATAAGCTACACCAGTCTTTCTTTTGCTAACGTCTGAAAAGTTGTTGAGAAATAACATTTCATTAATTAAAGTGTATTATTTACACTGTGTGTGTGTGTGGGCTGAAAATGACGTATTTCATTTTTGTGAGACAGTGTACCATGTGACCAGTTATCGTTCTCGTCTTCTATTATTACGGGAGTAGATAAGGAAAGCTTCAGACACCAGTTCAGTACCAATTTCTACGTAGGTGATACAGTGACAAGATTATATTGCCTCCAATCATCTAACAAAATAATTCAGAGTGCACCATAATGGCGAGCCACAATTGACTGCTGGAATTTAGTCTGCACCAAACAAAGAACTATACGCAGGACTTCTAGTTACTTCCCCAGCGCTCAATCAAAGTATCCATTACAGTCCTACAGATAGTTGGTTGCAAGCCCAAATAGCTTGGTGGTAATGTCTCTGACTACCGAACTGGGTTACCTGGGCTCGAATCTCATAATAAGGGATATGAATTCCTTCAAGATTTGCAGATATGCCTAACGGGGACTGGTGAGTGCCAATAAGCACTCACTCACTCACTCACTCACTCACTCACTCACTCACTCACTCACTCACTCACTCACTCACTCACTCACTCACTCACTCACTCAGGTCCAGGGCTTCCTACCGAGATAACCTCCGACCATCTAACAACAATTCAGAGTAGACATGTGTTATATATTGTTACGTCACATGGCCCTTTAAAGTCAAGATTACTAGATCACTAGCCAATCACACCACGATCTAGAGTTGAAAGTATGTAATCAACCGACATAACCGATAGTATTTACGTGTTAAATCGAAAGCTAGAAACCGAAAATTATTATTATTTCCTTTAATTCCTAGAGGAAAATAGGGCTTCAGCCAGACGTCTCCATCGCGTTCGGTTCTCTTCTAGATTTTTCCACCTGGCTCCAAATCTGTCCACAGTTTTCATCTTCTTTTCGTATGACCTACTCCATGTCACCCCACCCTCGCACTGACGACCAACTCGCCACTTCCCTTCCAGGTTCCACTCGAGCAATGGCTTGTCTACTGATGTCACTTGATTGTTTCCTCAGAATATGGCCAATCCATCTCCATTTTTTCCTGCCTATTTGTTGCACAACCGGTTCCTGCTGGGTTGATTCGCCCCCAGAGATCTCCTCCCTGTTGCTGATCTTTTCTGGCCGGCCATCTGATCTTAAGTATTGAGCGAAAAAAACTTAATGAAGGTCTGTAGTTTGTTTGAGGTGCTCTTTATGACTCGCCAAGTCTCTGATCCAATCGTATAGTAGCACTGACTTCACATTGGAGTTGAAAATCCGGATCTTATTTCCATTTTCATTTTGAGTGCTGTTGACTTCCACACAGACTTAAGAGTAATGAAAACTTATCTTGCCTTTGCGATGCTTGCTTTGAAATCCTATTCAGTTCCGTCCGCCTGTAGTTGAAACGATGCTTTCCAGGTCAGTAGGTAAAGGAGGTTGTTTCTTTCAGGTTCCTCCCATTTATGCTGATTGTTGTCTGTTGTTGTGGCTGTTGGTGTTGGCCAGGAATCTTCATCACCTCTATGTTCGCCTGAAGTCCTATCTTTGATGCTTCTTCAGCCAACTTGTTGCTTTTCACTTGCATATCTCTGTTTGTGGGAAGTCAGACATATATCATCGGCGAGGTCTAGATCCTCCAAGTGTTTTGTGTGGGTCCATTTTATACCTGTTTCCTTCGCATTATCCAATCTACTGCAATCAGGAAAATCATTGGCGATAGTAGGCAGCCAGCCTTGTCTTACTCGCGTCTTTACTTCGAAGGATTCCGTAAGTTTCCCGTTGTGGATAACCTGGCATGTAGCATTGTCGTACAACTGTTGAATGAGATGTATAATTGAAATAATAGAAAAGATTTGTAACTCAGGTGTATGATTTGCAATTATTAGTGTTCTCTAAGCTGGTTGGTTTAGTTGCGGAGCTTTCATCGTCTTTCTGGACGACATCTTCAGCGCAATATTTAGGATAAAGTGAAATGTATAATTGTCGGTGGCACCCCGTAGTGGTGAAGTAGTTGCCAAATTACCTCTCGATCAACGCTGTCAAGCGCCTTTTCAAAGTCGATGAAATTGAGAAATCGAAAATAATTTCTGTTAAAATCAAAATCGCTTGCATTTTCAGAGAGTCGACAATGAGAGTAAGTGTATTGTGTACGGTAAAGATAAGTGGTACTTATTTGTATGTATGGATTGTTTTAGCTGCTTAAAAATGAAGGCACACAATCTTGCCTAATTTATTATCTTGTGATGTGTCCTTCATGCATATATGGATGTATATTTATATATATATTTCTTTTAACTAGGAAGTTCCAATCAATTGCCTACTCTGTTGACGGTGAACATCTACTTGCTGGTGGTGATTCAAAATATGTTTGCCTTTATTCTATTCCCGATAAAATGTTGTTAAAACGATTTGAAGTTACTTGCAATCTTTCACTTGAAGGTGTACAAGAAGTTCATGATCGACGTAAATACTTAAGTCATTTCAGTATGGAAACTATTAACTCGAAAGAAGCCCAACGTCCTAGTCTTCGAATCCCTTCTACTGTAAAAGGTGGAGAACAGAGTCGTCGTCAATGGAGACCTGAGGTCAGAGTCTCTGCAGTTGGATTTTCACCAACAGGTAATTCATTAGTTTATGTAATGCATTCATTTAAGATTACTTCGTCAATTTTACTTTCCCAATAGTTTTCTCTGTGACTACATCATAGAATTTTCTTTTGCGTGACTGAAACGGCTTTTAAACATTCTTGCAAGTTGTAAAGAATTGTAATTTGTATCGGTATTATAGAAGGATTAAATAAGGATTCAGACAAGGGTGTTGGCTTATTATCACCAATGATATTCCTAATTGTGGTGAACTGACTGGATTATGCATGAGACAGTGGGAAACGAGAAGACAGGGATATCCTGGACCGACGCGAAGAACCTAGAAGACCTGGATTTCGCGCGTGGATGATTTATGTTTGATGTCACACACACAAAATCGAAGACTTACAAGCGAAAACTGACCGACAAACTGGTCGAAGAAGCAGACAGTGAGGACAGGACTCCAGGTGAACGTAGACAAGACGGAGGTTATGAAAATAACCAACCAACCAACAACAACAACAACAGAAACATCCAGTGCCGATCACCATCGACGGGGGGATTTGAAAGAGGTTACTTCATTCACTTATCATCTAGGGAGCATTATCGGACCATTTACAGGAGTGACGGACGAGGATGTCAAATCGAGAATCGGGAAGGCGAGAAACACGTTGTTCATCAACCTGAAACCAATCTGGAAAACCAATCTTCGTTACTCAGCATCAACAACAAAACTCGGTCGGATTTTCAATACAGACGTCAAGTCAGTCAGTTCTTCTATACAGATCAGAAACTTGGCGGGTGGGTTACAAAGAATATTTCCAACCAATAGGTTGCAGACGTTACCTTTATCAACAACTGTCTTCGCTGGATCTAAACTGAAGATCAGATGGCCGGGCCGGAACGAATCACCAACAAGAAACTATGGAACAGACAAACAAAATAAGAACCAATCGCCAACCAACAAATATGCAGGAGAAAAAGGAGATGGATGGATTGGACACTCGTGGCTGAGGAGGCCGCTGGGTGACATCGCGCGAGCGTCAGGCCATTGCTCGAGTGGAACCAGGCCGAAAGGGAAGCGGCGAGTGGGTCATCCAAGGACGACATGAAGGAGATCGTGTGAAGAGGAGTTGAAACAGAATAGACTTCTGGAAGAGGTGTGATGGATGAGAGCTAGGGTGGCATACGTTAATTTGAGCCACATCTAGAGCCTTCGCGATGTTAACTTGTCTGCCAGTGTTTGGGTTCACTACGCTTCGGTGTGTGCGGCGTTGCTCCACGCCGGTGAAACCTGGTGTCTCCGAGCTGAGAATGGGTGGGGACTCTGACTATTCCACCCATTGCTGTCTGCGTTCGATAGCATCATCGTGTGAGTCTGGAAGCGTGTATTTGGACACAGTGTAGATCACTACTATTCATTGAATGTCGTCATCTGGGAATACAGGCTTCGGTGGCTTGGACATGTGCTGTAAAGTTCACTCCAGAGGCTTCCGTGCAGGTCTCTGTTTGTGAGCCATGGAGCAGAATCGAAAAGACTAAGAGGTGTTTGTTACTGGTACAACATTACAACTCCCTGATTGGGATCAGAAAAATGGTGCGAATCGGTGTCCAAGCATGGCAATCAATGGAGAATATAATGCGATTCCTCTCTTTCTTCTCTTTTGAAAACATCTATGCATATAGTAAATTTTCAAGTGTACATTTATTTAATTAATTTCTTCCCCTTGTTTCCTGTGTTAACAGGTGATGCATTTGCAGCTACTACTACAGAAGGTGTTCTTGTTTATTCTCTACCATCTGCTGGAACTGGATATGGTGCATCTAGTTGTTTCGGTGTTTCAAGTTGCAGCGATAGTGGTTGGTTATTTGATACTTTAGGTATCGATGAAACAATCACTCCATCAAATGCTCGTGCAGCATTAAAACAGGGTAAACAAGCTGAAGCGCTGGATATGGCTATTCGATTACAAATAAATGAACTTGTTGAAGAGGTAATGGAATCGATTCCTATTGATCAAAGTAAGTGTTAATTATTTTGATTGGTGGTGGTGGTGGTGGTGGTGGTGGGTGACTAGCATTGGATGTGCATTTCGTACTATTTTTTTTTCCTTCTCATTCCCTTTGGAACATAGGACCTCAAGCTAGTGGCTTGAAGTTTCTATAGCAGTGTTTAATTATTTTACAGGATGGGGTTGCTAGACTCATACCCAACTTTTCCTCTTTACCAGCATCATTTTTGGCTTAGTGAGGTAAAGGAGTGCGTCGTCGGCCGGGGATCGAACCCCGGAGCATGTGCATGGTGGGCGAGCGTCCTAACCGCGATGCCGCCGACGCACGTTTCGTGTTATTTAGGACCCATCAACTAGATGTACCTGGGTTCACATACATCGTTTCAAACGCTAAGGCGTCATCCGTTAGACCACGAGAACCATAGTCAGTGAAGAAAACTTGTGAATTAACTTGAAAATATATAGATAAAGCAATAAGAAGACGTAATTTGTCTGAATCGTGTAATGTGATGACAAAAAAACCTTCTTTGGTAAATTTTGTTTTGATACCACAGCAGATGTACTATTACCTCTGCTATTTGGTTTAGTGGTCTTCATTTTTATTTTTGACCTTGAATATGTCCTTTTAACTTGACCTAAGTCTATTTTTCTCACCTCTTACCTCTTTATTAATTTTATATATATATATATATATATATATATATATATATATATATATATATATTACTATGATAAGTCCGTGGAGTGTGATAGATTGTTGGAAATGTGTTGCGCAAATACATTACACGATTCAGACAAATTACGTCTTCTTATTGCTTTATCTAGATTCATAAAGGGAACTAATTGTTTTAAATTTGAAAATATATGTTTTACTTAGATTTAATGTCGCCGTGATAATTTTATGGTAATTATCTATTGGTGTACTATACATAGCCTTTATTACAAGGTTTATTAATGTACATAGGCAGAATAAGTTGAGCAGGAAAACGTCTTCTGTTGGTAAGGCTTACCATATATAAAGGATATTTCAGAAATCACTACAAGACTCTTCAAACCTTTAGGAATTGACATCGTACACAAGCCACTTCACTCAATTCTATGTCAACCAAAAGACTCAACAGCGAAAGAAGATAAAACCAACATCATCTATAAAATAAATTGTAACAACTGCGAAAGACACTACATTGGCCAAAGTGGACATCCCCTTCGTCTTCGTATCCACGAACATAAGCTAGCCGTCAAAAGACATGATATCCACTCCATCACTCATATCACTACATACAGACAACCACGGACATCAATTCGACTGGGACAACGTTCAAATATTAGACAGAGGAAACAACAAGAATGCTGGAGAATTTTTAGAAGCCTGTCTGGTATTCCAGTGAGTCATCAATCAATAGACACATCGAGATAGACAAAATTTATCAACCGATAAGAAAGAAACCTCACACATAAAGGGTCAGAGTTCAAGTCAAAGAAACAATCAGTTCCAATACAAGTAGCCTAGAAGGTGTGAAAACACACAAAAACAACCAATCACCTTCAAGGTGGTCACCAGGAGAGATGATTAATAAACTCGAGGAGAAGCCGAAAAGCTCATTTCAAATTGAAGTATGTACTGAATATGTCGCCCAGTAGGGCAATGAAAGCTCAAATTAACTATCCGTCTCAAAGAACACAACCGCATAAAAATCATCCACCTGAGCTACAAATCTGTATCATATCTAATAATAATAATAATAATAATGGCTTCATTCTGAAAAATGCGTTTACACACAATGCAGAATTTCCAGCGAGTTTCATTGCAAGGTATTTACCCAGTGTGGAGAATCTTCAAATAATGTAATAATCGATAGATAATATATCATCTGAATCAATATCGTTCCGCATGAAGCTTGCCTCAGTACTACTTCTTAATGTGTTCTTCCTCCATTTTCTTCGAAGAATTCCCAGCACTCTGCGTCGGTGGCACAGTGGTTAGAACTCTCGCCGATCATGCACATGGTCCGAGGTTCGATCCCCTGCCGCCGCCCCAAACTTGATATCTATGGTCGGCCTGCAAAATTTGGGCTACCGATATCTATGCTGAAAATTCTATACTTGTAACAAAAGTATGGTGTGGAATCAAGCTGTAAATAAAAAATAAAAAAATAAAATAAAATTGAAATGCATTTATTCCCCTTAATGAATTTGAACAAAGCAAGAACTACAGTTTTTGCTAAAACTGTAGTTCTTGCTTTGTTCAAAAATTGAAATGGTTGGCGAGTGTGAATAGTGACTCATTGTGGTAATTAAAGCAGAGTTAACACGATGCGCTTTGAAGGATAGAAAATTTAAGTAGTTTAGTGATTTAATCAGGCCTGTTATTTCACATGGTCAAGGTAAACTTTAAGCACCACTAACTACCAATGGAGTGCTGACATGGCTCAAAACCGTTCTCAGTGGCGCAGATGCATCCACTCCCTGTGACTTATGATCTTCAATGAAACTGTTTTGTTCTTCGTTATTACTCCTCCTTTGTCTCACACCGCTGCTTACTGTCTCTATTATGCTTTTCTCGTACTTTCTTCTCTTGCTTCGCGTGCTACACGGAATGTGGCGACTTGAACTTCCGCACATTTGTGCAAAGTTCTATGTCGAAAACAGACAGACAGACCAATGGAGTGCGACCGCACCAGTGTCTTTGAAACGATCACTGTCATCATCAATAAAATACGCTTATCGAAGTGTTGTGCTAATAAATGAGGATTCTGGCAAGTTTCCGCTTAGGTTTAGGAAATATTAAGTTATGCTGTAAGCCAAGGACAAGTTAGGCTTAGGTTAACCTAATATGGGCGACATTAAGTTTGGTTCGAGTTAGATTACAGTTAGTTTAGGGATATTTTCGCGTTAGAGTTAGGCTCAGGAAAGTTTAGGGTTATTGTCGGGGTTAGAAGACCTAAATAATAACATGCTTAGAGTGCGGTTAAATTACGCTGTTGACCTAAGAATAGAACTTATGCACTTTGGTATAGTATAATTCCATTAAAGGTAAATTTCGTTTTGATAAAGTCTCACAATGTTATACAGTAATATTTACTGCACAGTGTATTGCTCAGTAAATATTACTGTAGTACACTATGAGACTTTATCAAAATAAATTTTACCCACAATGGAATTATACTTTGTTGATACTCCAACCTAAAACTGAGACTTATTTTTATCAAATGTGAGAGGAAAGTATCCTCTGTAACACTTTTCTACAGTTTTTATGTATATTTTTTTCATAAATATATGTTTTCCATAAACAAAAATGCCTCCTTCACGTGATTGGTCCGTTCGAGGTCAATTCGCTGATTGGCAGATGGTGGTGCTTAACTTTGTCTTTCACATTTTAACGTGTATCATTGAATTAGGCCAAAATGTCAGCTTGTTTAAAAGAACTCTTACTTCTGTTTATGAAAAATAACAAGCCAGAACATAAATATTCTAATCACATAGTTATGTGCGTCGGTGGCACAGCGGTAAAATACTCGCCAACTATGCACTCCTAAACCTTACTAAGCCAGTAGTTATACTGATAAAGGCGGAAAGTTGGACTTGAGGCTAACAACCCCTCCCCCCGTAAAAATAAACACTGAAACTTTAAGCCTCTGGAGACTATACTAAGCATTTTTATGAATCGAGACATTAAACTAAAGAGTACTAAGTCTACAGACAAGTGGCCCATGGATAGCACCTCAGGACTTTCATATAGCGTCACAAATAAACCAATTGTCATTGAATTTCCTTAAGTAGATGCTACATAGACATCGTTCCAACTACAGGCGGAACTGACGAGGATATCAAAGCAAGGATTAGGAAAACAAGACAAGCTTTTATTACTCTCAAGTCTGTGTGGAGGTCAACAGCACTGAGCATCAACTCTAATGTGAAGTCAGTGCTACTATACGGATCAGAAATTTGGCGCGTTATAAAGAGCATCTCAAACAAACTACAGACCTTCATTAACAGTTGTCTTCTCTCAATACTCAAGATCAGATGGTCAGAAAAGATCAGAAACAAGGAGGAGATCTCTGGGAGCGAACCAACCCAGCGGGAACCGATTGTGCAACAAATAGGCAGGAAGAAATGCAGTTGATGGATTGTCCATACTCTGAGAAAACCATCAAGTGACATCAGTAGACAAGCCATTGCTCGAGTGGAACCTGGAAGGGAAGCGGCGAGTTGGTCGTCAGTGCGAGGGTGGGGTGACATGGAGTAGGTCATGTGAAGAGGAGGTGAAAGCGTGTGGACAAACTTGGAGGCAGATGAAAACGTTAGCAGAGAACCGAACGCACTGAGGACGTGCGGCTTAAGCCCTGTGTTCCTCTAGGAATTAAAGGAAATAATAATAATAATAGTAATAATAATAATACACAGTCATTTTCTCTGTAACATACAGTAGTCGGTAAGTTGAACTGATACACTATTTTGCAAAGTTCTGTGTTGATAAGTTAATCATCCAGGCACTTGTAAAAACGCATTTATATATATATATATATATATTCTCTAACGCCTGTCCCTTTGTATTCTAATTAAATCTAATCTAATTTTACCCTTTAATATTTCAGTTGACTTTTTGGCTCATCAATTGCCTGTCAATCAAGTGACTCACTTTCTTATCTCTTTTCTTGCACGCCAATTGGGTGGTAGATCACGTCATATTGAATTATATGTTCACTGGACACATTCCATACTTCGTGCACATGCATTAAACTTACGACGAATAGCTGCAAATTCAGCCTTGTCCGATTCGGTTAATTCTAGAGAGTCAAAAAGCTTGTTAAACAAAGACTCAACAGAAGAAGAGCATAAAGAGTTGAATAATCCAGGATTTTTAACACTTCGAGGAGAATGGGCAACTTGTCAAGCAAGCTTAGTTCGTTTACAGGCTAGTTTGAATCATGTAAAATCTCATCTAATCAAACAGTGAGTATCTTTTTAAGCATTTCCTTCTTTTATTGTGAATGTGTTGACAGGCATATTTTGTTTACAGCCTACTATTAGTGGTTTTTATTTTACTTCATTGTAACAGCCTGCAGTCTATGGCGTAGACGTGATATCCAGCTGGCCATCGACCAAAGGGCGGGTGTACTGCTCATCAGTCCGATCCGTCCTCCTTTATGGCTAAGAGTGAGACATGGTCATTGAGAGTGGAAGACATGAAAAGCTCGGTTAGCTGTCTTTGATCATAAGTGCCTGCGTTCTCTCTCCGTGTGTGTTAGGTGGTATACTAAGGTGAGCAATATTGAGGTTCAGGCATTGGTCGAGTGCTAGGTGAGGAGGGAGGAGAAATTAATCGACGAGTCTGTGAAATTACATCGACTGAGATGGTTAGGACATGTGTTAGGTATGCCTAACCTAGTCATCGCCTTCCTCGACCGATGGGGAATGTTAGCTGACAGACATAGGGTGAGGATGGAAAAGAGTTAGCTAGTGGTGGTCAAACCAAAACATGGCTTCACCAATCAATGAAATCGACAACAGTTAGTTTAAGCCCACCAGCCAGTCACGTAGGAAGGTGTAGACTGGCTTCCTTGTTGGGGTCCTCAGGACAGTAAAAACCAATGGCTGGAAATAATTGGTGATATGGCTCAAATTGATCGTTCTCAGTGGCTGGCTGGTGCAGACGCATCCACTTCTTGTGACCTATAATACCCAATAAAACTATATTGTTCTTCGTTATTACTACTCTTTTGTCTCACACCTCTGTTTATTGTCTTTATTTTGCATTTCTTCTCTTTGTGTGCTACATGGAGTGTGGCGATTCGAACTGTTGCACATCGGTGAGCTACTTCACACATGTGCAAAGTTCTGTGTCGAAAACAGGGAGACAGACAGGCAGTCTGTAGGTTTGTACATTTTAATTGGTGCAGTAATTATGCATGTACTATGTCAAAATATGACTATAACAGTAGTTGTTTGAAGTAAGTACCTCGTTATCGCTCAAAAAAAATGAAAATAACAGATGGTTTAGATTGATGTGTAAGATTATGTAAATGCTGACTCCGCACTTTTATTTCTAAGTTGTCGAGATAAGACTGACTGACTGACTGCTCTCAGCATAGAACTTTGCCGAGATGTGTATCAGTTCGAGTTGCCACCTTCCATGTAATACACAGACACACAAATGAGGATAACAGAGAGAGAGAGAGAAGAAAGAGTTTCGAAAGGAGGACAATAAACAGAAATGTGAGCGATAAGGAATAGTAATATGGATAAACAAATAAGTTTTTCAAGGGTTGATTTGTAGGGATTTGATTGGCTACAGGATTTCATCATGAGCTGACATTGGTTAGAGAACCATTGAAAAACTTGGTTTCGTCCTAGTTTTGGACTCTTCAGCAGTACGCCACACCCGCCGACGGGGTTCAAACCTAGGACCTTCTGGTTACAAAGCGAGCGAGCTCGTATACTATTAAGTCACTGGGACCCGATCCAATGGCCAGTCCATGAATTCTAACTTCTGCCAATTCACGATGAAGCGTGACCCCTAACCAATGTCTTCGGCGAGTATTTGTCCTCACACGCTACCTACTACACCCTGCTGGTCACGACTCCTCACTAGAACCCCAGGTAACTACCTACTTGAATAGGGCCGGTCTCTAGTGAGCATCTCATCCATATTCAAGTGTTGGTTTGTAGGGATTTCATTGGTTACAGGATTTCATCATGAGCTGACATGAGTTAGAGAACTACCACTCGTGAAGAGTCCCAAACTGGGACGAAACCAGGTTTTCCAATGATTCTTTAACTGATGTCAACTCATGATGAAATCCTGTAACGAAATAAGTTTTTAGTGGATCTGACAGATCATAGAGAGTGAATGCATCTGCAGTAATGATAAGAAAGATTTTGAGCTGTATCACCAGTTATCTCCAGTTGTTGGTTCTCAGGCTGGGAAGTCTATACCTCTGTACAAGGCTCAAACTAACTTTCAAAGATTTGATGGACTGATTCCAAGTTTTTGTTTGACACACCTCTAACTAATATTATGTCGGTTAACATCTCCCATCGAGGAAGGCGTTAGCTAGGCATACGTGACACATGTCCAGCCATCTAAATCTATGTAACTTTACAGCCTCGTCTACTGATTCCCCCTCCTTACCTGGCACTTTACCGAAGCCTAACCACAATAGTACTCACTCGATTATACCACCTAACACGGGACATGGAACTCAGACACCCATGATCAAAGACAGCTAGCCGGCCTTTTTCATATCTTTCACTTTCAATGGCCATGTCTCACTCGTAGCCATAAAGGAGGACGGAGAGAACTGGTGTGCAGTACATACGTCCTTCTATCGATAGCCAGCCGGATATCATATGTACTAAGCCAGAGATGGCGTGAGTTGTTGGCAAGTGACAAATGAGCCTTCTGTATCCGTGCTGAGATTTCATCAGTGATCAATCCGCTGGCGTTGGTTGATGTAACTAACTCCCCGAATAAGAAGCGAAGTGGTCACTACGCCGTACCCATTCACTCTCTATCTTTAAGTTAGGCGTGAGTTGGTGTAGTCCGGTCCTGTTGCACAACATCTTACATTTAATAGGAGCTAATTGCATTCCAATTATGCGGAGATGTCTTCTCAAGGCGTTCAGGTGATTCTGCATTCTCTACGCCTCCTTTGAGTTGAAATATTTGAATTATACTTCATGCATTTTTGCATTTATATAGTAAAGTTATGCCATTTCTTCAGGTTCCTAATAGCTGATAAAAGGCCATAAAGTAAAACGAAAAATATATGAGCTCTTGTTTTTATCCTGTAAAAATACGTTGATTCACGTTTATCGTTCAAATTAATCACGGAAACTGCTTGTAGGATCTTCACTTATTGTCATTTTAACCTAATTTGTGTAGAAGTGTTCAGTTATAATTAATGAATTTACTTTGTTATTATTGTTGTTGTCGTTACTTTTTTAACTACTTTCCTTCCTCTCATCCCCTAAACCTATTTTTCTCTTGATGATGTTATCAGCTGTGAAAATAAGAATTTGTTGTGCGTGTGGGTTTTTTTTACAATTATAACTTTAAAAAAAGGCGAAGAATTAGTTCAGGCAGGCACTTTTAATCTTTCCCCCCGCTCTTTTCGTCTCTCTAATTACTGATTATTGAGTTGATTAAAGAAATTGGGATAATACCATTACATCTCATACCCCCTTCTTCTTTTTCTTGCTTCTAATAATAACAAGAGGCGAATTAAAATTAACCCTAAATGCTTCATACTTATTTGTTAATGAGAGTTGAATCTATTTTGAGCTATATCTATCTATCTATCTATCCTTTTGGGAAGTAATTATTGCTAAGATGTGTGACCTTTGAATTATTTTATTTGAATGGATTAATTAGCTTAGTGTGTATATTCTGTTATCTGTTGCGAGTACAGCTTATTTCTCAGAGTCATAACAAAGTAGGCATATCACTTTTCAAATCAACCAGGACCTTCTGGTTACAAGGCCAGAGAGCTCGTAGACTATTGAGCCACTGAGACCCAACTCAGTGGCCAGTCCTTGAATTCTAACTTCTGCCAATTCACGATATAGCGTAACCGCTAGCCTGTGCCTTCGTAGAGTATTTGTCCTCATACCCGACCTGCTGCACCCTACTGGTTACGACTTGCCACTAGAACCCCAGGTAACTACCTACCTGAATAGGGCCGGTCGCCAGTGAGCATCTCATTAGTATTCAAGTATTGGTTAGTAGGGATTCGGTTCGAACCCTGGTGGGTGCGTACTGATGAAAAGTCCCAATGGTTCTCTAACCAATGTCAGCTCGTGATGAAATCCTGTAACCAATCAACCAAATCCCCACAAACCAATACTTGAATGTCTGTTGATTTATTCTGGTTGCATGCATGCATTGTTATTATGATTATTATTCCCTTAGTTTCCGACTGAAACATAGGGCTTCAATAGTGCACCTACATTTCATCCTGCTGTCTGAAGTCCTCGTCATCTGGGTCCATGTTTGCCCGAAGGCCGTCATTTCTCACTATCTTCCCCATGTCACGGTCAAACAGAAGCCGAAGTCGTTGTTTCCCATTCAGGCGTTGGCCTGACGTGCAGTTTCATGTGCAATGGTCTCCTCAGTGAATGTGCCCTACCCTTTGCTCCATTTCCTTCGGTTTATGTGTTAGTCCATAGGTTTTTGATTAGTTCGTTGCTTAGAGACCCTCATTGCTAAATTCTTTCTGACCAGCTTACCATCTGTTCTGCAGTATGATGGCGCCAGGGGATACAGCTGTTGATAAGACTTTGTAGCGGTTTGTTGAAAATGTTTTCGGTAACATGTCAAGTCTCTGAAGCATGTAGAAGAACTGGCTCGACCATAGGTGTCGCAAATTCCAATCTCATCCTTCATGCTGATTGCAGTTACATTTCCGCATTGATTTCAGCTTAGTGAAGGTCTGTCTCGCTTTTCTAATCTTACGTATGACGTCCTCATACATACCCGGAAGCATGTATGTGTTATTAATTCGACAAAACAAAGACCCAGTTATTGTTAACATCTCTCTTTATATAAATAATGTATTCACTGTTAAAACGTCCCCTCTACCCCACTCTGTGATGTGTTTCTAAGATGTGAGTCTTTGTATCATGTTATCTAATGTCTTTATAGATTGCTTATTCAGTTAGTTCGTATTTAGCTAAATTTGTGTTCAAATAATCCAATGTAATACTTTAATCTACACACACACACACACACACACACACACACACTTAACTTCACAATCAAAACATGGTTATTATTCTGTCTGGTTGGAACTGCGCAGGATCTTTTATATCTAACATAATTCCTAATTGTATTGTGAAGACTCCTGCATAACATATATGGGAGGCTTTGAATTCAATCTTACCTATCTTGCAAGTAGAACTTACATATTACTGTTTTTTGTGTAAAGTAATATAATTTAAAAAGAGATTTTGTAGGGTAATGTTTCTCCAGTTCTACTGTCCCTTTATAATATGTTTTTAGTTTAAGGATTAAAGGTAGGTTGGAGTCTGCATGAAGATGAGACAGCGCAAAATCTATGTATTATTTCGACAACACCTAGGATTACGATGATATTTCAACCCACCCACTTACCCACACAGACACTGAAGAAGAAAGGAAATATTTCGGTTACAAGATCCTACAGTTTCATTTAGACCATGCAACCGCAAGCAATAACTCACTTCAGAGACTCAAGGATTGACTTGTTACCAGAGAATAATCTTGTTGACATAGACTATGAAGACGATATAGTCCTTCTAGGCGAGGACGCTGACAAAATCCAGCAGAGTCTTCTGAAGACCTTGAGCTGCAATCTACGAATGTTTGGCATACGATTCACTCCTGCTATCAAATGTAAGATGATGTTACAGGACTAACTGGACTACACTGACTCCTAGTTTAGAAATAGGGAGTGAAGTGGTAGAGCACGTTGACCGCTTCACTTATTCGGGAAGTACCATAAACCAGTGCCAACGGGTTAATCTCTGATAAAATCTCACCACGGATACAGAAGGCTATTTTGGCATATGCCAGTTAACGCCGTCTCTGGCGTAGTAGACGTGATAACCAGCTAGCCGGCTGTCGACCAAAGGGCGGATGTACTGCTCATCAGTCCGATCGGTCCTCCTTAATGGCTACGAGTGAGACATGGTTATTGAGAGTGGGAGACATGGAAAGATTAGCTGTCTTTGATCATAAGTGCCTGCGTTCTATCTCCGTGTGTGTTAGGTGGTATAATAAAGTGAGCAATATTGAGGTGAGGCTTCGGTAAAGTGCTAGGTAAGGAGGGAGGGGAAATCAATCGACGAGTCTGTGAAATTACATCGACTGAGATGGTTAGGACATGTGTTACGTATGCTTAGTCTAGTTATCGCCTTCCTTGACCGATGGGGAATGTTAGCTGGCATAGGGTGAGACTGAAAAAGAGCTAGCACTTGGCGGTCAAACCAAAACATGGCATCAGTCCATGATATCTACAACAGTTAGTTTGAGCCAGTCAGCCACATAGGAAGGTGTAGACTGGCTTCCTTGTTGGGGTCCTCAGGACAGCAAAAACCAATGAGGGCTGGCGATAACTGGTGATATGGCTCAAAATGGTTCTCAATGGCTGACTGGCGCAGATTCATCCACTCGTTGTGACTTATGATTTCTAATGTAACTGTATTGTTCTTCGTTATTATTATTCCTTTGTCTCACACCTCTGTTTACTGTCTCTATTATGCATTTCTTCTACTTTGTTCTGTTGCTTTGTGTGCTACATGGAGGTAGTGTGGTGACTTGAACTGGTGCACATCAGTGTTAAGTTCTATGTCGAAAACAGACAAACCGTTTTCAGGTTATATCTCTGTCAAATGGTTGAAGAGGCATGAGTGACAAGAATAAAGTATATTTTCATTATTCTCATGGCCTTATTTAATGCTTAGATATGAGTATTAAATGGTAAATAGGTTGGAGGAATTCTCCCACTTCTATTAACCTTTTCTTTAGAATAATATTACCAGAAAGTAAAATTGAACTATTACTAATATAAAGTATAAAACTTGGGCACTGTTGTAACAAAAGAAGTCAAGGGCTAGGCAGCAGATCGTTTATTAAGGAAATATATATTTTCATGTACATTGTTATAGCTTATTCAAGCTAACAAACATGCTCTTTTGATTGGTTGTTTCTCACAGAAAGTTGAACTCGCATCTCTTTGTGGCTGTTTATTGAATGTCAGGTCATCTATATATTAATTGTATCCGCCTACGCAAAGTCTGCTGTGATTGGTTGTTGAATCAGTCTTTGTTCATATTTTCTCACAACCAATATTGGGGACATAAACATTGACGTAAATTATTGTCTACCAATTGGCTAGCAGCCTCTTCTCACGACACTGTGGTACAGTATAACTCCATTAGGGATAAGATTTTATTTTGATAAGTCACACAGTGTGTTATACAGTAATATTAACTGATGCGACCACGTTTCGAGCACAACCTATTGCCACTCATAATCATATCAAGGCATGTGGCTCACACAACTTTCTTGCTTCATTTATATACATGGATTAGATATTGGAATAAGAATCACTGTAGGATAATGTACATTCAGAAAGAATAATAATATGAGTCTTATTGATCAGATACAATCAGATGGGAAATAAGAGGAGTGCTTTTAAAGTCATAATAAGTAACTTGTTAGAATGTTGTGATGTGCTTGAATTGGAATAGAATTTCGAGGTTATTTATTATCCTTCTCTGATTTGACTGGCTGGCGTTAATAACATCTTCCACATTTCTGGTATTTCTGTTGAGATATTCTGTTGCATGTGTTGGATGTAGAATCGGTGAACCAGGTAGGATTCAGTAATCAATCTCTCTCTTCACTTACATAGATTACTTCTTAGAATCTTAACCATCTCCCTCCCATCCTATTGTGTGGTTGTGTGTTAATGCATGCATGCAGTGCAACTGCTGATCGTTTTTCTAAATTACTCATCTTCTCGAACTATTACTAGCATCAATTTTTCAGGCTCACAGTGTCCGTTAACCACACACACACACACACACACACACACACACACACACACACACACACGTGATTCTGGGTTCGATTCCCGGCCGACGTACTGCTAAACCTCACCTTACCGGTAGTAAGATTGGCGTAGAGAGAGAGAGAGAGAGAGAGAGAGAGAGGAGGTTGGGAGTGCGATTGGCAACCCCACCTTGGGAAACAAAACACCACAAGACCGATTAAACACAATAGAGTGTGTCCGATTGTTGCACTAATTAATTCAACCTAAAAGCTGGGTAACGAGAGAGATATCCTCTAAGATACGTTGACTTTAAATAGTACTTGTTATCATCAGATGATAGGGTTATTTGATAGAGTTCTTACAGCATATGCAACAACTTCACAGCCATCCATTAATTCATTCGCCATTGGCGCAAATCACTTGTGGAATGTTTAGGCTATTCAACGAATATAAATGAAGAATCAATCAGTAAGGGTGCATAGGATAAATAAAACATGAAATTCCATCATTACCAAGAATTGGAAGTTAAGTTAGAATTTTGTAATTAAATTTTTTTCGGTATAAGACAGTCTCATACACATTATACAGTGAAGTGTGAAGGAATGTTTATTTTAGGAAGTCAAAATGAGATGTGGATGATTTGTTGCTCCTTATAGGCTACAGTTTTTCAATGTTCAAGTTTTGACATTTGACTGATGAACGTCTTACCAATGAACTTAGTGACACTTTCAGCACTAGCATCAAGTTAGTTCAGGCCACTCAGTCAGCCACGTAGGGGGGGTATAGACTGCGTGACTGGTTGGGGTTCTTGGGATGGTAAGAACCAATGAAGGCTGGAGACAAATTGGTGATATGGCTCAAGATCCTCATTCTTAGTGATGACACAGATGCATTCACTCTTTGTGATTTAAAATATCAAATAAAATTCTATAGCGCTTCCATATAACTATTGCTTTTGCTTCATATTTCTGTTTATTATCTCTTTTGAATATTTCTTTACTCTCTTTAATCTTGGTTTGTGTGCTACATGGAGTGTGCCAACTCGAACTGCTGCACATCGGTGCAAACCATTTAGTTAGTTAGTGATGATCATTTTACCGATTAATCACCGACACACATCACTCTCCATATGTGTAGATGTCTTCAAGAGTTAGTCAGTAGGGATTTAATTTGTTTCAAGTTTGGCCACGGATTGATATCAGTTAGAGAACCATTGAACACCATCAGGGAGTACTAGACAGCTGTTTTGTCCTATGAACCTATGTTCCTGCAGGTCCTACCATGCCAGGAAGGTTTTTAGGGTAGTGATTAGACTAAAAGCAGTTACCGCCAGAAAGTAAGAATCTTTCTTACACTATGCTGGGGGTCTGAGTGCGAAGTCGTACTGCTGGGGAACAGGGGTGTAACAGCAGTGAGGTGTTTCCCGCATATGACCAGCATGCCATCCACCTATGTTGTCTCTTCACTCCGGAGGGAGGGGTTAGAAAAGGTCGACCCCAAAAATTGTACATCCCGACTTACCCTATGGTGGACCGTAACCGGCGGTTAGTTTACCAATACGGAACCAATCTCAGAAACCAGTTCATACAAGCCGTATTTGACCGACCTCAAGCAGCTGTCCCCTGGGCTCTTTTTGTTTCAGGTACCCGAAGAATCAATCAACTTCCACGATGTGGGCATCCGGGAAGTAACAACCGCCCACACACTTCCAAAAGCACACGAAGCCTTCCTGAGCATAATTCTCCTTTACTCACATCTACAACACTTGTGACTTCATCAACTTCATGTTTGTTCTTTTGTAATGGGGTTGTATGAAAATAAAATGGCGAGAATACGTGATGTACGCAATTTTTTGTCATCCATAAAGTGCAATGGCAGCAGATTTTATACACTTCAGTTTTGAAAACCAAATAATCTGATATTTAATAGTCACACTTTCTCAGGAACCAGAGAACACTGGAAAGTTGTTTCGCTCTAGTTAGAAATCCTTCAGTAGAACACACCCATGACACTATCAAGGATCAAATACGGAACCTAAAGGTTAGAGACAAAGTCACTTAGACCAGAATTCATTCACCCGTGAATTCTAACTTCGTTAGTTTGTGATGTAACGCTGTCCTCAGCCAACGCCTTCGGTGGACATACACTCCACTTTGACGTGGTGTGGGTTCCACTGGTCATGACTTCTCGCTACAGCTTCAGAACATTCATTCGGTAGCCATCAGGGAGCTGGAGAATAGTATGTAGATTATGGAGTTTGTCTAGTCCGCCTTGATTTCCACTGGTTTCTAATTAATGTTGGGTTTGTAAAAAATCTCAATCTGTATTCACCCTAATCATGTTTGTCTTTGTCAATTAATCCTGTCTCATACCTTTGTATTTTCTTTTAGCTTCGAAGCTGTGGACAATTTATGGAATTATTTAGAAAATTTATCTGATCTGTATCGAACGAAGTCTACTACTAAATCACAGAAGCAGAATATCACGGAAACTTGCAGTCCGTGACCTCTTTTCTTCACTGGTATACCCACCCATCCACCTTATTTTCACAAGCTAAAATATACCACTGATGTTTATGAGAAAAAATGTTTTGATGAATTGTGATAAGATCATCAGTTGAAGTGTAATTGTGAACCTTTGCTTGCAGATAACTTTATTATTTGATACATTTTGTAGTCATTTTAATAACACCAAATACTTGTAAATAAATAAGTATATATATACATATTTGAGAAGCATTCAGTGTTTTAGTACTTGAAATGTTCTTCGTCAGTGCTAGTTAGTTAGTTGTGATCTAGCTAAAGGTTTTATAGTACATAGTCACTCGATTCCTGATACAAATTTAGTAACTGTAGACTGATAAAAGTGATTATCCGCCTATCTGTCAGCTCTATCCTTACCTAACTGCAAAACTGTTCTATTTTTTAATGTTTCAGAGTAGTAATTATTCGGTGATTCAACCAACCAACCAACTAACCGTCTGGGTTTAATCACCGGAGGGCGGACATTCCTAAACCTCGTCTATTTTACTAGCCGATAATGAGCCTCAGAAAGAGGAGAAGGTTGAGCATCAATTGAACAACCCCATCTCGGATAAAAACAATATTGCTAATAAAACTTCAAACGATGATGTCCTATGTTTCACTCGAAACATAAGGAGTGATAGAAAACTTTTGACCCACTTACATGCTCGGTTGTTTGAGCATTCTACCTCATATTTCTGTTAATGTCTATACCTTTTTAGAAAGAAAGTTCATACAGCCGGTTCCCTTAATTTATTTGAATAAAGAAAAAACGAACATATTTGCAGGATATTACGAGCTCATTATATTTCGTGGATTCTCTCTAGTTGCTTACATCCTAAGTAAATCAATTCGAAACTATGGGCACTGAGTTCGAGCCCTCGTAGGAACACCATCACTCACTGGGGTATGTAGGTACATCCAACTGATAACTCCCAGATAGGACTAGCGAAATGCGCATCCTGGATTCCACTGCTAGTCACCATCAACCAATTGACTTTAAATCAATTGTATGTTATAAAATTTCTGAAAATCCTCTTCACAATGATTTCAAGTTATAGATAGAAAGTATGAGCAACATAATTTCGAAGGTGATGTAAGTAGATAAGTACTTAGTGTTAGAAGAGTAACTATTTATACAGTAACTAGACAAAGGGGTGGAATTCAGATTTCTGAACAAAGCAGGTACTACAGTTTTAGGAGAATAAATTGCTACCATCTTTTGTTTTGTTGCCTTCTCGTCAGCTGCTTACAGGCCAAAGGCATTATATCTACAAAAACAGTTTTAACGTACTTGCATAGAGTTCATTTTAAACAAAAATCAAGCAATCAACATATGCATACAGCATGTATATATGTATATTCTGAACAATAATAATCAAACACAATGGAAACTTTTCAGCATTACACATTCAGATGAGAAAGAGATGAATATTTCCAGTTACCAGGGCAAAGAAAGACTGATAACCGCTTCTTCCTGGACACATAAATCAGTTTTCAGGCGATTGATGGAAACGGCTTCAGCAATTATGAGGAGAATTGAGCTATTTTGCCAATTGATAATTTTGAACGACTTTTCAACGTCCACCTCATGACCCGTGTCAAAAAGACGCCTGATGATGGCACTGTTTAAAGCATTTGTTCCCTTTAGACGTAAGCTTTTTGGTACATGTTCAGAAAATCGTAGATATGCCCTTCTTTCTGTCCTTCCAATGTAACTACTCCCGCAGATACATGTAAATTTGTATACACAGTTGGAGGTAACATGAGAAGGATATCTATCGATTTTTGATTGCACCAAAGAGCAAGTTGTTCGATAGACGGGAACGAGCTTAGCTGCAGCATACGCTATGGCTAGTGATGTACTCAGCCTTCTGTTGATCATCGCTGCAATATTTTCACGTTTATAATCAAGCTGAAGGTAGACTGGCTTTTTACGCACTGTGATTTGTTTTACATTTGTGACTTCAGATCTTCCATACTTGTTGATGAACCTTTGAGGATACCCATTTCTCTTCAATATATTTTCAAGGAACTCAAACTCCTCCTCTAGTTTCTCTATAGAGCATATTCTCCTCGCTCTATAGTACAAAGTCTTGACTAGACCACGTTTAAAGCTATGTGGACAAAAGCTATTAAAATGCAAGTATTGTCCTTTCCAAGTAGGCTTTCGATAATTTGACTTTTGAAGACTACCGTCTTCTAGGCGTCCCATGGCTATGTCGAGGAAGTAAAACTTTCCCTCACTTTCATGTTCCATAGTAAACTTAATATTGATGTGTGCATCGTTGAATAATCGCACTTACTCAACAACAAGTTGCAGAAGAATCATCAAAGACAGGACTTCATGTGAACATAGAGAAAACAGAGGGGATGAAGATTCATGGCCAACAGTAATCGCAACAAAAAGATAACAATCAGCATAAACGGGAGAAATGTGGAAGAAGCAACTTCCTTTACACCTACATACTTTGGAAGCATCGTTTCAACTACAGGTGAACGAAACTAATGAGATTGAGAAAGCAAGATAAGTTTGCATTACTCTCGAGTCTATGAGGAGTTCAGCAGTGTGAAAAATAAGATCGGGATTTTCAACTCCGACATCAAGTCAGTCCTACTTACTATATGGATCAGAGGCTTGGCGCCACTTCATGAAGGACACTTTGAACAAACTACAGACATTCATCAACAGCTGTCTTCGCTCAAGATCAGAAGGCCGGCCAGAAAAGATCAGCAACAGGGATCTCTGGAGACAAACCAACTAGGAACCGATTGTGTAACAAATCTGCAGAAGGAAATGGAGGTGGATTGGTCATATTCTGAGAAAACCATCAAGTGCGTGACATCACACGCCAGGCTGTCGCTCAAGTGGAACCCGAACGGGAAGCGGGGAGTTGGTTGTCAGTGTGAGAGTGACATGGAACGATGAAAGCATGTGGGTAGACGTGTAGTCAGGTGAAAAGGTTGACAGAGAACCGAACGCAATGGAGACGTGCGGCTGAAGCCCTATGTTCCTCTAGGAACTAAAGGAAACAATAATAGTAATAATATTATTCTGCAAAAACTGTTCTTCTTACTTTATTCAAATTCACCAAGGGGTAGAAATGTATGAAATTTCAATTTCATACTTTTCTACAAGCATCTTTTTTAAGTATCTATGATTAAACCATTTTATTTTGGAGTGGTTGTCTCTTGTGAAAAGTTATAAAAACTCTGTACTTCTCATTGTTAGCCCAACTTCTGCTTTGGCGAAGTTATGCTCAATAAAAGGGTTTCAATATCACTAATGCATCAACACATCTTGATTTTTATAAAACTTAAGTGACTTTTGGTAATTATTTGTCTGAATATGTTTTGTTTTATTCTCATGAAAAGGACTGTTTATGTCATTGTTTTAGTATTTCAATTTCTTTATTCTCCTTCACCGTATTGTATGAAATGAGTCAATTTTTTTGGGTGGGGGAGTGATCTTTTTCTGTCTGACCATTTAATGTTTACATCTGTTGTCTGTTCATGTGATCGATCGTTCTATGACGTATAGAAAAGAAGAATTTTCATCTTTGTCTGGCTATTTCTACTTAACACATGCAGCAACAAGGTAGCCTGAGAGATACGTGGATGATACCTTCGACATAATCAAATATAGTTTGTTTCAATGAACTTTGTCACTTAATAGACAATATGTCAGAAACCATCAGGTTTTCTATACAGGTTGAATCCGAAGAGAATGATTTGGCGTTTCTGGACTGTTTAGTGGCTTTGGAGTCACAAAGAGAGTCGCGATATATCCGCTAATTGTTATCCAAAATAATGTCTTTGCATCTTGTAGACGCACTTCAAAGTTTCACCAAATTGCATAGCAAATGAAATTCGTAATATGCTCAAGACCAGGAATCAGACGATATGAAATGAGACCACTTCCTTGACATTTATCCCACCTTATTAAGAACTGTAATTACTTTGACGATGTACCCACTAAGTGAAAGGAACTCTTTGGAGACATTATTTGTCACAGAGCATCTTTAACTTGAGCAAGACAGTATGGGACTGCATTCATTGAAGAGTGCTGACTTACAACGGCTGAAGTATGTACAGGACAATAAGAACTAATAACCAGGTAACAGAGTACCATCTTAGTGTGCTTTATGTTGACGCGTATAGTAAGACGGTGTGGTCTTAATATCCAAGGATGAATAGTTTTTCTTTGTGTGGCACACCGACAATATCTTCAAACATGTTTCTAGGAGTTTTCTACTGAATATAGTCGACACCAGAGCTGCAGGGTAGAAGGGGGGATTAAGCAACTCTGTTGAACTCCCCCCCCCTCATTAATATACTTGAAAAATAAATCTTCATTTGCAACAAAAACCTCATTTTAAAATGATTGTATTTTATCTAAATGAAAATTATAGAAGTGTTTTTGAATCGAACGATTTTTGACCATACACACTTCATGAAGATACAAATTACCGTATTTTTTAAAACTTGTAAATACATAGTTGATCAATCAATTATACTAACATAATTAACTACTTATTATTGGAAATAAGTAGATTAGAAAAGTTTATTTAATTATGCATCACTTATTTGTTTATGTGTTTTTGGGACAAGTACAAACTAACTAACTCGTTTGCCTATTCAAATACGTTAAGATGAAAGTGTCCAAATTTTAGTCTATGTAAATAATTTGAAAACAGATTGTTTATCCTTAACATTGTTTTATTTGTTTTTCTCTTTTTTTTCGAAGATCAACATCATTAACACATTGTTTTACTTTGCGTATTACTTTTTTATTCTACCCTTAATTCCTTATTATCAAGTGTCGATTTTTGCAGGGATCTGAGATTGTTTACAGGCCTGATCAGTAGCTGGTGTCTTTGGAGAACCAGTACTGGAGTACCTTACAGCTAGCTGGTTCGTCCTAGTTTAGGACTAATTATAATAAAGGTTTTTGTATTTTCAAGTATTGGTTTTTGTAGGGATTTTGTTTGATTGCATGGAGGATTTAATCATGAGCTGACATCAGTTAGAGAACCACTGGAAAACCTGGGAGTACTGGACAGCTGTTTCGTCCTAGTTTGGGACTCCTCAGCAGTACGCACCCACCGGGATTCGAACCCAGGACCTTCTGGTTACAAGGCGAGCTCGTAGACCATTGAGCCACTGGGACCCGATCCAATGGTCCTTGAATTCTAACTTCTGCCAGTTCACGACA